GACAAAAGTGTTCTAATCAAATCTATGCCTCTTAAGATTTTGCCATGCACACAGTAACTACTGACCAATGATTCTTTTCCCTGCTGGGGAAGACTTCTACAGCACAATGATCAATTACCCAGCATTGTACTGGAATTGCTTAGCTGCCTTTGTGGGAGTAACCATGTAAAGGCAAGTGTATCAAAGAATGGGGATGGGATATGCACAAAATTGGAAGCAATTGCAAAGATGTAGAGATTTGTTTCCAGAATTAGTTAACCAAGGTACAGAAAAGACCACCCATGCAAATCTGACAAACATGGCAGAAGCTTGTTTGGAAGGAAAACTTCCTGTCTTTTTCCTAATCCTTGTCAACATGTCAGCTCTGGATCAAGATTTCGTTAACAAATTGTGTTCACCAATAGATCGAATGGGATAGAAACTTTTCTCTGTAACATTTGACTAAATCCACCTAATCCTTAGTTAATTGTTTTCTTTGGTACATGTATCTCCCCCCTTGGACAGACTCACTTTTTGAAGCTTTTGCCCTCCAAATAAAGGATTTAGTACTACTACGATAATAAATCTTCTGAAAAGGACAACCTACAAGTAAGAATGGCATTTTTTTTTTGTGAACAAGGTACACCGTATGTTTTATTCACCGTATGAGAAATACAAGGGCCCATAGTTACCATTTTCATAAAATGCGGAAACAATGTATGTACAAGTAATGTATGTACTGGCATGTATGGGTCCATACACACACGTACATGAATGTGTACATGTGTGTACATGTACTCATGTACATGTACATGCCTCACAGATTAAACAGTTGTAAGGGCCTACCGGCCTTTCAGTATGTCAACAATGAAATCCTGTGCTTTATAATCATCTGATGTACTGTACGTGTGGTAATGGATGAAATACTAACAATTCCATTCACACTGCCCACAGCAGCAACCACAGCTTCTTTTGGCTGTATCATGTTTGATTTAAAGTGACCATAAGTTGAGTGCTGGACGATTTTGTCTTGTACCTACAATATCTTATGAGTATTGAATAGCAGGCAAAATTGCCCCATGCTTCTTAGCCTTGTCAGAATAAATTGGCTGTGGCTGAATGTATATGTAGCATGCATCTACCGCAGCCACTTCCACAGGAGAACATGTTATTTAAAGCCAAGAATGACTGGACATTTTGTCAATATGGTCAACAGCCAGTGACAAGTAGTCACTGACAAATAGTTCAGTGAAACAACCCCTCTGAAATTTATACCTGTAACCCACTTTTACAAAAATAAAATGTTAGTAATTTGTTCTGGCGTGTTTGCACATCAACTTCACAACTTCAAACATTTCGGTGGTTTGAATGGTTTGAACCTTCTAGGACCCCCCCCCATTGACACAGTTCGTTTGTAATACTTAAGCAAAACCAAAAATAATCTGACAAACTAATAGTGGCTGCTAAAACTACATGTATGGTTGGTTGACGGTGCAAAAGTAAAAGAATACAAAGTATTAAAAGTCCAACATGCCCGTAGCTATCAGACCACCAGATAATAACACATGCACTCATGAACACTAAATGAAAATGCAACCCTTCCTAAATTGGGACAAATGTCCATTTTAAATGAATTAGAGGTAAAATTCAAAACAAAGCAAAAGGTGATATTCCTGCAAACTTTGGCCACCCATGTACCGGTAAGTTGGAGGCCAAATGAGAGTAGTCTATAACCAAGGAGTACCGTGACTGATTTAAAGTAAAAATGAAGCCCTATTACGATGCTGTATAGTTTTTCTGTCAATCTATCAAACTTGAAGCAGATTGTGGAAGACGGTTAAATTGCCGTCCAGAAGAAAGCATGCTCTTAATTCCGACATACATTATGAGTTTGCCAAGGGAGCGTTTCTGTTTACTTGTTTTTGAAATGCTCAAATAGGCAAAGTTTTTGAACAATTTGCCAATTCAAGAAATCACCCCAAAACATGCATTTGAGGAGACAATAAAACATTTACGAAACTGTATTTGCTGAATTCAAAAAGAGTTCCATACAAGTATACGGACATCATTCATTTTTCCCAAGGCCTTCAGTGGTTGTTAGCCATCAGAAAACAATAAAAGTCCTTTAAAAAGTCAAACCTAGCATGGAAACCCCATGGAGGAAGGATACAGGAGCAGTTACAACTCTAGCACTTCTCAGTGCTCTGTGATCATCACCGTCCGGTCAGACGAACAATAGTAAACAATTCCTGCCTACAGCTTAGCCGGACAAGTGAGGCCAGTAATGTCCTGGCAATATTTGTGATGTTTCGTTTGCAGTCAACTACAACTTCTTGCAGTGACCAGGAAATAAAGAGAGAAAAATCTCTAACATTAGATATACTTTTGCTATTGTAAATACAGCTTTTTAAAAATTTTGATACACTCTTCCCTTATCCATGCAATATTTGTAATTTTAAGGTTTAGGGGAATTAGAACTCTGAAAGCAAACATTTTTAACAATTGTTTCAGATATCGACAAATGAATGAGTCCACTAAGAAAAGGAATTTACGATACTGCACCATTAGTATATGTATTCCTTCAGCAAACACTAATTTAAGTAATAAGATATCAAAGTTGTTGCAGCATTTAAGATTGGGGTAAAAAATGTTCTGGTGAATAAAATGAAGTCATTCCTTGTCGGATTAATAAGTATTAGGTGATGCAGAGCAATTATTCTCATCTCGTTCTCTCAGCAAAGGGCATTTTTAAGAAGATTTGGAAAAGGGAGTCAATTATAGGTAAAATGGGACACTTATTACAAAATGAGGCTTTATTATTTCCTCTGAAAACAGAATTATTCTCGTTATTTATTCATAAACAAACTGCTTTAAAGGTCACTGTAGAAACTATTTCTCGGTACCACGATAATTGATCGAGACTCCACCTTCACTTGCATACGGTGTGCATTTCGTGGGAGGTCCTGATTTCAAGGGGCCCTATTTTCATGTCCTCACTTTCTGCATTATGCCACCCCATGTAAACAACTTTGAGTGATGTAAAGTACCTTCAAACATACTGAAGATCTTCTCTTCTCCCCGCTGACCGAAAAACGTGGAAAGTTAAAGCTTCAGCGGTAAGCTGCACTCGTAAATGTCAACAGTTTATTCATTTAGGCCTAGTTTACAAGATAAAAAAAAAACATTGTACATTGCGGGGGAAATTAATATTCATTACAGTATTGTTTAAAGCTTCAGATTACAATGTTTCAAAGTCGCTGCTTGTGTATGACTGAAGTCACGTGACTCCACTGACAACTGAGCATGTGGGGGAAAAGTATGGACAACTTAGAAAAGACATGTTCCTTATATACTTTTCTCACTGCCTGGCAAATTGCTTTGCCCTTACATTTGGAGGGATTAGTTGACTTGTTGCAAAAGCGTATTATTTCCATGAAAATTATCAATTCCTGCATGCATATTAAACATCTAAATTAATACAGAAAGGTGATTCAATGTAGGTTTTTCTTTCATTTCATTATTTCAACAGATATTAAAGTAAAAGTGACCGACTGTGTGGGGTTTTTACAATTAAGGCCTACAAAATAAAAAATACACTAATATGGATTGCTATTTTGACAAAAAATACTGGTAGATTATAATAAGTGTTCATTAGATATTACAAGCAACAATGTGACATCCAACCGCAAAATACATGTACACGTTACTTTCTTAGTGCTGCAGTCTACGGCAAGTGCCTACCGGTACTACTCACCATCAATGCTTACAAAAGCATTTTGGTGTGCAATTTCTCCATCTCAACCTGATCCAAGTCATGCTCTTGCACCAGAACACAACATCGCTTCAGAGCACCACCACCACCAATGATGATGACAGCCACTCAGATATGACAGATACATGTACAAGTGCTGTGTTTTCCACTGATTTCAACCCATTGAACTTGCAAACTCCATTAATTTAGCATCATGGAGCCAGTGTATGTTTGAAAACTGCTTGCAATGGACACACATGAAGTACTATTATACTGCAGTATCACTCCCCTTCCTGGCAAGGGATTCATTGTATTGTCACACACTGTCACAGTCTCCCATGCTTCCAACCCACACAGGAGTAAATTTTATCAGTGCAGTTTCCTTCTTTTGTCAGGAGATTTATAAACCATTTTTTCAGTTTGTTGAATGCAGAGTTCAAGCGTGTTTGTTACTTTGCCAAGTAAATTATTGTTAATGAAATAATCTCCATAGTAAGCACTAGAACATGTTGTTTCAGTTTTAGAAAAAAATGAAAGTGTGTTCAATTTAAAACATTCACCAATTTATTATTTTCATGTTAAATGAAAAATTTAACATGGGACAATTTGAAAGAACGTAAAACACAGGGAAACTTTACTTGAAAGCAAAGAAACACCTGCAACAGTTTTATCTTTATTTCTAATTCAAAATTTAAAATCATTACAATATTTTTAAGGTAAAAAAAGGAGGTTGATTTTGGAAAAGGCGACTTCCGATAAAGGATTAAGTCACACAAGACGTGCCGCATGGCTACAAACATTTATTTCATGCATGGCTTCACTTGGGCACCATACCCCTGTACAATCCTCCAAAATAGGTCACTGTCAGCAACGGTTGGAGCATTCGTAAGAGCATCGGAGATCACTCCATTGGGCTACAAAAGAAGCTGTGACTTACGGAAGTTGATTAGGGCATGAGTTGATATCTTGCATTTCTTTGTATTTTTCAAATTAAAGAAAAAGCCTGATTCCCTCGAAAGCCGGTCTCTGGAGGATACAGATTTTCTGAACCATCACGGAGGAAAATAAACTGAACCACAAACAAAATCTTACAAACCCTAAAAAGTAAGAGTAAAGAAAAAACAGCAAGGCCAGGATAATTCAGGATGGTAAGCGAGCAATCTTTAATTTGGTCGGGAAAATGAAGTGCTGCAGTATAATATGTGTAGGCCTTGGCCTTTACTACTTTACTAGAGTAACCCAGACCATCCTACCAACCCTGCCTACTTACCGCACGTTGCACCTCAATTGCGTTCACTGTTCTTAACGGAAACACTCCCCCTCGTCTTATTTGCGGACGACATTTCATCCAAAAAAATCCTCCAGTAGCACAAAAAGTGCAAGCTCCAATTGCTAGGGCCTTAACTCTGCTTGAGGAGGTAGCCACGCTTGATTGGCGACTGCTGAACTGCCTCAAAAAATGTAAATTTGTCCTCAGCTTTCTCCAAAGACTCGAGCACACGTACGTCGCCATTTCAGAAAATTGTAATGCGTCTGCGCAGTATGGGTTAGTCGGTTCACTGACTTTCCGTGTGTTTTCACAGTGCGGGTGTAAGTCTAGGTAACTACAGTGAGCAGACGACATGCCTCTTTTTAAAACCCAGCAAGAAATGAGTCCGAGGGGTACCCCCTCCAACATGTCCAATCCCTATACACATTCCAGACTATTGCTACTTAACACATCCCCCAAAATGTCTGAAAGGAATTCCCCAGATTCCTGCGAGACAATGACCAACACAAAGCAGGGGGGTTCTCTCTGTCTCATACCTTGCTGCATATGCTCTTTTTCTTCCTTTTCTCTCTCCCCCCTTCTTTCTTCTTCTTTTTTGTATTTCTCTCTCTTTATTCAATTGGGTTTGCAAAATATATTTTTACTGGTCCTACCAGGTCAAAGCAAGCATGTTTTTGTCTTACTGATAAAGTGTGGAATTCTTTCATTGTTGTTACCGTATTTAAAATAATTATGTAAACTTTCTTATTTTTCTTGTCATTTCTGGTCTGCTACATTTGCTTCATTATGCCTTGTTTTGTCCTTAATTCATGCCTATATTGCACATTAACAGCTCGTGTGATATTAGGGTACATTAATCTGTGTTTGTTGTTAAGTTGCCACTATGTCCACATATCAAAAGCAGTGTAGGGTTTCTTACTTTTCTCTTCCGTAGGGAGGAGCATTTATGTGTAGAACAGCTGTGTTTCTTTTGTTTCGGCTTGCGTCAGTTTCTTTCATTTCTTTTGTCTGACGGTCTTGTCTGCAAAGTCCATACGCATTGGAAGGGTGTTGCCATTGCTACACCTTGCGTGTAGCGCCTAGACAATGCGAGCACGTGTTAGGGCGCCTTTTTGCTTTTAATAAGATATCATGATGTTTAATGTACTGGCACTTTCTCACATCTGATCCATCAGGACAAACTTTAACACACTGAAAATCGTACAGTGCCATTCACCACCACCAACAACTAGATTTTACAAGTATAATCCACTCTGGTGGGGCGAATAGCTACATATGTTGTGCGTAGGGGGAGTGGGGTTTAAACAGGTTGGCATTTTTTGCGAACATCATTTACGGACGGCCCCTTTTTTGTCTTGATTAAATGACTGTGTGCTTTGGGCTTGCTACAGTTTCGCTGTCGTGTTGGCAGTGGTACGTACCTTTTAATACCATGTATTTTAACTACGCTGATTATGTCATCTCCCTCCCTCCCCCAAAACATCATCATCATCATCATCATCATCATCATCATCGATAGATTGATCAATAAAAACAAACAGGATATATTTATCGTGAATATGTAAATATTGTTTATTAATGCATTTTGATCAGGTTACAAGACTTACTGCCATTTTTGACTTTCCACCCATTGAGCTGATTAAGGCTTTGGTGTACTCTTCTGCATGTTAACCCGCACTGAAGGCAGATGTTGGAAAGGGCTTGGCCTGCATATCGTCCTGACCTTGCTCGCAATTTCAGTCTCCCGGGGGGCGAATATACAAAATAAACAAACCGACTGAATGTTTTTCCATCGTTAAAAGGACCGACCACAATAAACACGGTGGCGGGTCTGGAGCCTGCTGAAGTCGACCAGGGGAGTCATCATCAAATGAGGAGGGGAAAGAAGACGAGGAGGGAGTTCTATGGCCCTTAAACCCTCCCCCTCTCTCCTTCTCAAGCCTATTCGTTCTAAAAGTCTACAGAATTCGCTTGGTGTTAATTGTTCCAGAGAGATGGAAACAGTTACAAATAGCATAAGCATGATAAATACGTATAGTTAAAGAAGGGCAAAAATGAATTCAAATAAAATTATTTTCAACAAATTTTCTTGAAGTTTCCTTTAAACATAATGACATAAATCATTAAAAGACACCACTGTCTATATCTTAACATTATAGGATGTGTCACCAAGACTCATTCGCAAGGTCAAACTGTGATACAATATTTCAGTATGATTTTTTTTAGAGAAGAAAAAATGTGCATATTTTGAAGGATTTGTTATTAAGTATTTCCCAAGATGTGTGTTTGACTGGCGGTAAATTCACTGGATATCTTTCTTTTTAAAATCTTAGAAGTCGGAGTTGCTGAGCATGTACGGAATTGATTTAATCGGGAAAACGCCTTTGGCCACATTAATCTTGTACTTTGTGTTGTATACACAGTGAGATATCGAGAGTATTTCATAATCAACCAATGTGTGGGAGTTAGCGAGTTGAACAATGAGCAACTAATCAGTCTTCCTTGGCTGCAAGTAGTGGTGTGAAATTATTTGAGCAATTTGATATGCTGATTGAGCTCTTTAGTGTCAGCCAGCCACATACATTGTTATCCTGGAGATAATAGGGAAATGCAATAACTTTTACCAAAATATTCGCACCCTACGAATAAACAATCTTAAGGAAATTATTCGTTGGCGGAAATACAGAAAGCAACCGGTATTGACAAATCTGCCCCTACGTCAAAACTTCCGCCAAGCGGTGATAGGTAATTTAATGTAAACATACACATGTACATAGCAGTGGACCTTGCATTAATGGTCAATATTACGTACCAAGCTGTGCGGTAACAGTTTCCTATTGTTTTTTTGATACGATCTTTAAACAGACACAATTCCGCGGCAAACCGCCACGCTTTTGGCGGAACTCCACTCGTCTACGACGGTGACCGACTGACGCACCTGACTGTTTCGGATCCGGTTGCGTGCACTCACCGTCTGATTGGCGACAAACGTGAAGCTGTGGTGAGGAGCGATACTCAGCTCAGACACGTGACTGGAGGGCGAGTCTACTAGGGGTACGGTAATAATGACCTCATCTTATTTACATGTCGGAGTTCGAAGTGCATATATAGAGGCCTAATCTCTCAAGGCGTTTATCTGCATCCTTTGCTTGGACTGCGAGAACCTTGTCAAGTGTGTGATGACAGTATGCGCATCCAATAATAGGGGTTGTTCTATTATTTCTTTGCTGTGGTCTATGGTATTGCTACATCACTGTTCCTGGTGACGTGGATTATACTGTCGCAGCTGGACCGGTTCACTTCACAACTGCCGGGAAACTTTTTGCTATGTGACGCATCGATACACCATCAACTTGTGCGCGGAGTGTGTCTTCAGTTTATTTCGTAGCGTGTGTCGCCTGCGGGCCCAAGAGATTTCGCGAGGCGCTCTTTTAGAAGCGCTTTGCTGTTCCTGAGAGATGAACAACGCAATGGAAAGTTGGATTGAGAGAGCAAGCAAGGGAGCAGTGCGCATTGGGACAGCGGTGCTCCTTGTGTATTTAACATTATCGTCCAGCATGCCCACACCAACTTTCAACGTTCCGACACAAAGTACTGTTTCTTCTAGCAGTGAAATGTCTTGGGACGTCAAAACAGTAGTGACGAGTAAAAACCTATCGGAGACGATGCATCTTACGGGAAATAGCAACGATGGCGTCGTCCTCAGCACTGTTCAAACTTCTGAAGAGGACAACAGGATATCCACAAGGATGCGACGAATGAGCAGCTGGAAATCCAGAGAACATGGAATTTACTCTTACGACATCAAACAATTGCACTGCAAAAATGGAAATTTGCTGGCAATTTATGACAACGAAACTATCAATGGAACCCTCGATAGATTTGACAAATACAGTGAGTATCAAACATTACCTTTTTACTTCTTCTTTTATCCTCTACGTAATTGCTTTTTAGTATGGATACATGTATCAATGTTTCAATGTAGCAATGTTTCTGCACTGTTACAAGATGCGGAGAGGTTTCATCGCTCTTGTAAGTCTTTGCACGATGCCCTTGAATCTCATAGGATCGAGCAAGGATATGCTTCGTGCGTACAGAGAAACATTCACTTTAGATGACGGACATGACAGAAACTTCCTTTCTCAGCCCGCACCTAATTTTACAACATGAACGTGGGACAGCAATGAGTAAGCGACAGGGGTGGCTTGTCCGCACTGCATGCACTGCGCACTCCAGCCACCCCGTCGCTAGGCTGCCAGCACGAGAGACGCTAGGGTCATTTGCACACTTCCTCCCCGATTACTGCTCAAGCTGCGAAACCAGTCAAAACCCATTGTGCTTTTATTACAGGTCATTTACCCACGTGGATAAAACAGCGTTATGTAATGCAAGTTTCTCATTTGAATAAGTATGAAAAGTTTTGTTTTAACTAACATGAAGTTGGCAGCAATGTGAACAAATAATCGAACAGCACGTGTTTAGCGCCTGGGAGTAAGTTTACAGTGCAAACATACCATAATGCGTGGTATTGAAGATTTATCAGTTGAAACAGGACTTATTTGTCATAAATAAAACTTGTTGCTAGAATAAGAAAACCTTTGAAGTGTCTTGTAATTGAGGGCCGGTTGAGTGCCTGGTGAAATAACCCCTGTAGCTATTTTCCTACCAACACCGTTGATTGTTGTCTACTCTCTCGGTTCGCTAACCTCCTTGGGCAAGCCAGTGAGTCCGCGTGGTTACCAACCTCCGTGCCGCATGCACGCGAGAGGGTAATACACAACCTCCCCTCTACCAGGACAAGAAAAATACCCAGTTTCATTTAGGAGCAAAATTGCATCACCTTTTACTTACGCAGGTTAAGCGTGAAAAGAGGCATACCAATGCGACACTAAGAAAAGTGTCTGTCGGTTTCGAACGTGTGTAGAGGTTCATGCTATTAATAACCAGGCCGAGTTCACCCGACAGACGTTTGGAGGGCGAGTTTGCCTAATTGATGTGCGAACTCTGACATGGCCTTTTAGCCCATGGGGTCGACAGCCGTTGGAGACCCTTCATTAATTTCAAGTGGGGCCCCTGGGGAGTGAAGCTCTCTACTTTAGTTTCCGCACCTACGAGCCGGGGGGGGGGTCAGAACTTAAGTCAAATGAAAGACACGTCTTCTTTTTCTGGAATACGCATGTTTTACACAAGGACCTTGCTTGAGAATTGCCACATTTGTATAAGTTATAATTTGATACATAGAATTTGGATAAGGTTAAAATGAAATCTGTACTGTGGTGATTTAATCTGTCAAGTACACGGTGTGTTTTGGATGAATTTATTGACGTCATACTATTTTTTGTCATTTTGAATGATATACCGTAACATTGTAGAGGAGAAATCCGTGACAATCAAACGACACCTCCCATGAAGACAGGTTTGAGTGTTGTTATCCAAATGACTTCATTCTCTCTGTTTGCAAAACAGCCTATGCGCCGTACCTTTAATCTTTACAATCACGGTTCAATCTCCATCAACTTCGTGTCCTGAGAGCTCAGGTATTGTCCTCTTGATCCCCTGTCCCGCCGGTATACTGCTACAGATTTGACGTCAGTTGAGGTACTTACGAGTTGCGTTTTGGAACTGGGGAGGGCTTGGGCCTCACAGAGTGGGTTGTTATTGATCCCACTACTTGAAACAGGTTGATGTAGACAGAAGGTTTAAAATTCAAAGGGGTTGGTGGAAAGGCCAGCTGTTTTGCGAAGATATTGATTTTAAGAAAATAATAAAAATCAAGATGAGGATTGTTAAAATAAAATTATCCGTCTACGCATATTTAGAACGTGTTCACCTACGTGGAAAAGGGCATTGTGCGACCCGTTCATAAATGTCACTTTTAGCAACGCTCGACAGTAGTTTCTTGACATTCATTGGTCGGAAGTACTTTGAAGCCATTCTCACGGAGGGGGGATGATTCTTCACGGGAAAGATTAGGCCTCTTTTGTTTTAGTTCAGCAGTGGATTTGCTTGAAAAAACATGGAAGACGCTTTTTTCTCTCCGACGGACACTCTCTTGTATTGTTGGTGGAAAACAATCCATCGATTCTGCATCAGCAATTATAGGCCCACCAATGACAAAGTAGTCTGAAACCCGCAGACAGAGGACATGCTGTCACCATACGCCGCTGAGCGCGCAGTCGGATCGTTGTACGGTACATGTTCATATGTACGTGTTCTGTACATGTATTACCGTCACGCGGTTCCACAGTGTCCCCATTCTGACCCATTTTTAGGAAGGCCCAGCTGCCCTGTCGTGCCATGCATACTCCCATCACAAACGTGCGTACCCAGCCAGACGGGTTGGTCCCTTGGAATTTGTGACTTTTTTGGCAAGTTAAGAGATGGAATACAAGGCACACAGTTCAAGGGGTTGGGCGAGTTATTGAGGTTGATATCCCGGGTGGTTGCTTGAATGGAGCTGTCAGAATGTGGGGGGCTTGAACTCCCCCATGAGCGCAGATGGATGGGAGCACCTGAATGATACGATGAAGAAATGGCACGTGGACGAGTAATTCTGTAATATCATGCATTGTGGTATTTTTGAGGTTTGAAGTTTATCATGGTGAAGGGGCAAGCTAAGAAATAGGTTTGCGGTATAGCACCATACGAACTATCTCTTTTGTATAAGTAGTTTGGAAAAGAACCGGAGGGTACTCAACTTTTCTGACAGTATACTCTGACGACGGACAGTTCAAGTCCCCGTGAACTTTCAAATAGGGCATTTCAGCAACAGTTTTTCACTGTTGGACCTTTTTGTGTTGGTTTGGTTGTTTTTATACTAAAATGGATTTGCATATTCATTAGCAAAACTGTGACGCAATCTGAGGCACTGAGGCAGTGTTGCATTAATTTGTGTACAAAAATTGCTAGATTCTGTTTTAGGCGTCGCTATCGGAAATTTTGGCAATGTACTGCATGAGTATATGGCAACAAGGCAAACAGTAACGTTTCCTCAGAAATAATTTCAAAGATCAAACGTGGGGTTCAAATTTAAATATGTAAACTACGCAATCTTCCTGGATTTACACCATACTAACGCCCTCACCTATGGAAAAGCTTGGTCAATTTTGAATGTTTACAAAGTACGCTTTACAATTCACTTAACCTTAAAAGAATTCAAACAGTTTTCATAGACTAAAGAAGAGTTTAAAGTGATTCTGAGAATAGTTACTTGCATTGTTCCTTTAAAATAGCCTTGGACTTTGTAGAAGACAGGTACACATTAATATTGTGCAATGTCAAAAACAATACTGGCGATTCACAACATTGCCCCTTCCAGAGTTTGCAACGCGTTGGCCCTTTCCAATCCTTTCCAAACGCGCATTGGGTCGACAGATTTCGCTCATTATGATTGGCCAACGCGTTGCAAACTCTTGGTGGCGCACTATTGTGAATTGCTCGTATTGGCGCTCTAATTAACTAACGTTAATTGATTCAATTTAGCGCGAAATTAATTGACGATCCAGATCAACATCCAATCTGCCAAAAAGTCATTCAATTTAACTCCATGACCATGTGATCGCAAATTCTTGTTAAACAAGAACAAGTTTAAGTCCAAGTTCAATTTAGTAAATCATAGGAACAGCAGTCAAATTCGTACGGTCACACTATGGTACTCGTAATAGGCGTGTGATTTCGTGCATAGGCAAACATTTCTGACATCTGTGCAATGTTTTCATCGAAATACAATTTATAAATTTGAAATGTTTGAGGTCGGAATAATTTATTCAAATTACACCATGAAGAAAACGTGTTTCACTGGCAAAGAAATCACTCTTAGTAAACTAATGTATCACCTTGGAGGGAGAACCTCTTATTCTATGAGCTCAAACGTACAAATAAGATGGCAGCAGCTCGTGATCACGACACAAGAACACCCAACGTTGATCATGGTCGTTTGATTGAAGCATTTGAGGGAAATGGTCAAGATTACCTAGAACTGGCAGTCAACCTTGAAATAATGAAGATTTATGAAAAGGAAGGTAACATGACTGGTTTTGTGTTATCCGAAGTTTTGTACTTTAAAAGAAAGAATAAAAACTCGATATTGACCCAAGGAAGGCATTCAACAGAAGAAAAGTATATATTTATAAAGTTAAATGAAAAGGCTGGGGATAATATAGGTCTCCAATATTCATGCCACGTGTACTTTTAATTAAAAGCTTACATTGCGAGTATGGGTGCTCATTGACGAAAACGAAAGTAAAATTTGGGTACGAATCCGCCTCCCATACCCAGAGTAGAATTGAGTGACGGTTGTGCATCATGAAATGGATTGATGCTGTTAGTAAATTGAATCCTTGAAAGTGCACGATTCGACGTCTACAAACGAAATTGAATGCGCAAAGTTTCAAAAATGAATCACGGGAATAACGGGCTTCTAGAAATCGCTGGAATGTGAATGCACGCTCACAAATTTGAATGCTGTTTATACTAATTCGGCCGGGAAAACCTATAAAATCGGCCCACCCAGGGAAATTTACATGTGTGTTTCAGTTGACCCATTCAATATTGGTATTTAAGCTCAGATAGCTGGGCGTCGTGACCCAAGTATCTTCTCAGACGATTCCATCTCGAATATACAGGCCCACTCTACCTTCAAATGTTGCAACTGTAACATACCATTTCAGAGAGACTTGAAGGAATAGTTGGTTCTTTGAACTTCTAATGCAGAGAGGCATGCTAGATATGCTGTCTAATGATGAGACCAATTCGTAAGATACACCTGAGCGACAGTTCTTCCATTTTAACGTATTTTGAACGTCACAACATGACATCTTTCTGTTGTAAAAATGGTTTCATACTTATCGTCGCAAAAATTTATTCAGACGTGTCATAATGAATTGCTTCCCATTCGTGCAGTGGAAAGAATATTTTCAATCAGTGACACATTGAATGTCCCGTTCCACTCGGCCTTGCCTCGTGGAATAGAATATTCCATCTGCCAGGCCCGTTCTATACGCTATGCCAGCCAAATGTCCAAATATTTGATTTTTAAGAAATTCAGTGTGGCAGTGTCGTGGCGGAAAGACCGGGACTTACCGCGTGGAATTTTTCTTACGACTACACGCATAACATTCATTCCTTGCAAAGGATCATGCCTTTTGATTCTTTGCACAGCATATTTTCGAGTTCCATTTGCTTTTTATTATTGTTGAAGTTCTAGACGTGGAGACTAAATGTTGTTATGAGTATGCCACCTTAAAAGAGTTTATTAAATAACTTCATAAGAGTGTTGCTATAGTCCAGTACCCTATTAAAATGGCGATCATACTCATAATGTACGCAAGGCCCGTTGTGCCACAATTTTACACTTACCAAAAATGAACTATGTTTTTCGAAGTTTAATTTTAATGGAGTATATTTTTCTAGCCTCTTATGAGATATTCTTCCCAAATTTGCTTATACGATATATATTCCATGCAGTTAGTTCTTATGAGATATTTTCTCTGTCAGATATCTCACCATTTTCTATTTTTGGAAAAAAGTTTCAATTAGATAGATATTTGAAGTTAATTTTTATAAGATATATTTGATGAGATATAGGCCTAACTAGACATTAAAAAACGAAATTGAAGAAGTTGAAATTGAATTTAAAATTGTTGAAATTGAAGTTGAATTTCGCAAAAATTCTTTATTTTTTTTATAGGTATATTTCACGGAACTAGTGACTTTCGTAAGAAATGCACCTGTGATATCAAACATTTATGATGTGCCGAGCTAGTACGAAACAAGAGAAGCAAGTACAGTGGTAACGTGTATACGCGGAGGCCCCGGTGGCCTTTCGATGCGAGTTCTCCGTTACCTGACTGTCGATACCTCAACCTTCTTTAGGCCTTGAAGTCAGGTAGCCATTGTGCGTTTAATTCTATAAAACTAAGGATAGTCTCAGACCATAACTTGAATGTATCAGTAGTTCAGAACGGTTCTCGGACTGTACTTAAAAACCCTCAGAAAAACGAACGTAGTAACGAAACAAAACAAAGTGGAATATTTTCATTGAGATATACGTCATTTAAAGGGAAGAAAATCTAATTAAAGAGAGAAGAGGTAAACTATAATGTGCCCTTTGGATTCGAAACCTACCTCTGCCCACGAAACCTGCAACGGTTTCGATTTTAATTGGAACTAAGAAATGATGAAGTTATTCTCAATTACGTGTCACACTGTCACTTACGCAATACGCTTTATACATACGCATCGTTCATGTAATATTTCCCCGGGTCACAGACGTGAATTTGCGGCCATAGGCCTACACCTCCAGAGTCTAAAAAGAACGTAACGCATTGAAACTATGCTTTCCTCCAAGTGCATACTGTAAACATAGCACGTGGCTTAAAGTCAGATTCTGGTGAGTAAGCCCTTCGCTTCAGACTGAATTTCGTTAACTTAAACTTACATTTAAATTACAAGCAAAAAAAAAAAAACCACAACAACAGCAGCAACGGGTATATCAGGTATTCTGTTGAAAACTACTTTTCAATTTGCTTCATGAAATATCCGGGCATGGACGATGTTACCATAGAGTTGAGCAACTACTCGACTTACATGTACATGTACATGTATTTCCTGCGAAGTGTGTCAGATATTTGGGCATGCGTCCTGAGCCACAACCTGGCTACAGCTGGAGATAATCCGAGTGCCCAGTGGCTGCAGCAATTTTTTTTTCGTGTCCACCTGTCTTTCAGCCAGTCGATTTGGAAATGGTCAGGAGCCCAACTGTGCTCCACCTGTATCACACGGGATTTCATGAACTTCGACTGTCAGCATGTGTAATCGACGAAGACATAACTGCGTGTATTCCCATCAAATATTCAATCAACGAAGGTCACTTATAGAAGTGTGTATCTCTGTCAGGTTTCTCAAGCAAAACAGAAGATTCTGCATCCCTCTAGAGAATTATGTGTTGTTTCAAACGACTACCCTCAGATACGTTTGATCAACTTACTCTTCGCTGAAAAAAAATATAATAATATCAAGATTTGCAACTGACACTGTACCTTATCTCTATTCTATTGGAGTATGATAGACATTTAGTGTATTCGTAATTGCTTTCGGAAATCAGTGCTCATCGCAAGGCGGTTTATGGAAGAATATATTTACAGACTCCCTAACTTGGTTAACGTAAAACTTCTCTATACCACGTCCATGATTTTTCACTTCCTGACCAGTTAATTGCAATTATGATAATGAGCTTTTTGTTCAAAATCTGTCACTGCATACGTCAAAACTGCATTTTGTGTTATTGCTTTTATCTGTATAACCTGACCGATGTGTCCGCAAAACTCACCACGCTTTGATGATTATTGGTCCGTCGCTGGTTCTTAAAACCACGGAGGAGTAAAACTCCACGTTAAAACTAACAAATCCTGCTTATAGTGTTCGAGTAAATAGCTCAATGTGGTACGAAGACTTTTTCGTAACCGTGTTCCTTTTCCTTCTCTGCAGCCCGTTTGAGGATAACGACCGCAGGCTTTGGTCGAGTCAGGATTAAAGGCGTGCAAAGTGGAATGTACGTTTGCATGAATAAACACGGCAGACTCTATCCGTGGGTGAGTTCAGTGATGCACTACTTTATTTTATTGTTTCTTTATTTTTTCTCCTCCACGATTCGTCTTGTAGTTATGAACCAAACATGGTTTGACATCGTGCTTATAACTGTGCTCTTCCTTTCCCTATCTGTCAAAAAGTCTCATCCTAAGGACGAATGCGTCTTCCAAGAGAGATTTCTACCAACTTTATATGCCGTGTTTTCATCTGACGTTCACTCCGGCAAGAGGAAATGGTATATAGGACTTAATGCAAACGGACAACCGAGGCTAGGAAGGAAAACGAAGTACAGGCACGCAATGGCGCAGTTCCTTCTTGAATCAGCTAACTGGGATGACACCAGATGATCATTACAGAAAGGATCGCTTCTGAACAGACAAGCGAGTTGGGAAATACTCTGCAAACGACGGAACAGTTACAGCATAATACTTACCTCTTGAGAGATTCGCCTTTTCATCGTTGACAATTTTTCTTCAGTCACCTGAACTCATTTATACATGCATTCAGTTTTGCATATGTATGTGCCCTCTGAGACGGTGCCTGCAACTCCAGTAACAAACACGAGCCAAAGACGTCACTTCTGCTCGGCACATACCAATGAGGATGTCTTTGTTGTGCCTACCAAAAAAAAAAAAAAAAAACAGAACAAAACAAAACACTGTTAATGTTGGTCACTATCAGCTCATTGAAAGCATAAATAATATATCTACCGTTTTAGATATATTATTTACGTTTTAGGCATAAGCATGAAGTATTCCACATGGACAAACGTTCGTGAATATGAATAAGCTTTTGTCGTGTTTAATGTAAGCAAAACAATGTATCATATTAAAAGTGAAACTATATATTTAAGTTTTTAAAACTTTCTCCTGTGCAAAATATGTTAAAGAGTATGGTATGTATTACGTATGCACTTAGACAATGATGCTATTCTGCCTAGTGTAAGGTATATACCACGTGGAAGGGCCACCGTTTTCTTTGTGTGGACCGAGCCTCATCTTTATGAAGTTTTTGTCGTTCCCAAAGTGATATTATTCCTGTGAATAAGTACTATAGGTCTGTATAAGCGTTTGGATGCTTTTTGAAGACCTTTTCGACAAGGTTCTTCACTTCTCCCTGTTAAGGGAGACTTTGGAGGTCTTTAAATCCCATTTAAATTATCCTCTTCACAAATTAATACAATAGTAATTACGGCAGTTTCCTCGGAACAATTTAATTTTCGCTGAATCCTGTAGAAGGCTATAGGCATTTCTTGGAGCATGCCGGGCAGAAAACTCGCATTGTGTCACATCCAAATCACGCATTTTCAGTAATTGCTAAAAATGTATTCACCTTTTATTCAAGATAGATCTCATCAAAATGTACAGAAGGGTCCCATTTGTTTCACACTTGACTTGATTCATTACTTTGATTCTGTGGTACTCAAAATTTCACACGATCAAATCACCAGTATTTAAAAAGTACTCAAGTAGAGAACGAGTACCATAGTTATTTTGAAACTGCATGGATACAGATCAAAAATAAGTATTCAAGACTGTCAGCCCGAGTAGGAGCTGAGCCGTAGTCAATGGGGTTTCCAATTTGCAGCCTAGGTGTCCTTGGAGGCTCAAGGGAAAGTCCACCTGTCGGTGGCCAGATCCCCTGTCACTCACCCTTACAATTGGGGCATTCAGAAAGTTTGCACACATCACTCGCCTTTGCCGACACACCTGGTTAGACCTTTATGGAGCCATCCGACCGTGAACAAAGTAGCTCAGGCCCGCCAAGAATGAGGATTTGAGCAAGTGGCTTTACGTACTATTGCATGCCTGGTTCCATCATCGTCTGGGTTTGGTTGTGTGTATTCTCGTGAATAGGCTCTCCCTTACATCGCCCACTTAATCTGTTGCATGACAGGTGTAGCGAAGAAAATCAAGGGCGGACCCAGAACTAAATTTTAGGAGACAGACTTGAGGGGCAATGAGAATTTGGAATTTTATCTTGTAACCTTTAATGGCCTTTCTGAGGGTTAGGTTGCATTTTGGGGCTTATATACGCTTACTCGGGGAGGGGGTGTCCCCCTTGCCCCACCCCCCATCCGCTCTTGATCAGTATGTGCCAGACAACATACAGAATGGTGTACCCAGTTTACGTAGTCGTGGACTGATGAGCTACTGACTGATATCAAATAGCATGTTCACGAGACCAAATTTGTATTCATTCGTTTTCCTGAAAAGGTTGAAAGAGGGAGAACTGTAGAACATGCTGGAACAAGAGAAGCATGAACGGCCCCGTTTCAGAATGAGAAAATATTTGCATTGTGTGCATATAGTCAAGATCACGACATGCCCTATATCTTATCTCTGCTATTAGTACTTTGGGGTCCAGCATCCAAGATCGCCAGTTAACGAATCCCACCGAAGATTCCTACCCACTTTCAATCATGTAATCAATAGTTATCAGTTGGAAACGTGTGGGTTTAAACCAATGAACGTTGGGTTCTTTTCACTCGCAAAGTAGTTGTCACAGCCTTTTTTTTACGACAGCCACCCGAGTGTTGACATGTGCTTATGTAATATTTATAAGACATCTGAGGATATATTTTTATGATGATATTTTTATACATAAGTTATTTATACGGTGTATTTATTGAATTAAAACTTCGAAAGTGTGTGACGCCCTCCACAGTAAGTGCGCACACCGCGAGGAAGAATTGGTCTTGAGGCGATTTGCCAGGGGGATTGTTTTAAGTACGGAGAATTTGAGCACACAGAGGAAACAAATACTGTAACTAGATGACAAACAATTCTATGCTGAATTGTACACGCAAATTGTTCATGATCTGTCGTTGTTATCATCCATTCTTACTTCTGAAGTGTCGGTTTGAATTCCCTCGTTTTGTGGGACTATGTTATCTTCTGCAACCATCATGTAATTGATACGTACATGTATACGTTAGTATAAAATACTCTTCATACAAAGATTTGTATCAAGTGCATGTGACGCTTAATTACCGTCATAGCGCAGTGTAAATAAATAGATTAAAATAACACTTCAACTATTTGAACAAGTTAAGTTGGAGTCACAAAGATGCCTAGGTTGAACAAAAGAAATGGTTGTTGCATGTGATCCAAGTGGCAAGCAGTTAATTTCCAGGTGAAACTGAAGTACTAATGAACATGTTTCAAACGAAGCGGTGTCCGCGTTAAGGACTCAGTATTATTGTCAACCGATTGCTACTACAATTCACCTGATTCCTGATTAAATGGCGTTACATTTGTATCCATTTTTTATTCTATGAAAGAAAAATGCTTCCTTCTTGGGATTGTCGAAAGGATTTTCCACGCACTTTTTGAAAGTGCTATAGCTCTTTATAGCCCAGGTAATTGTTGATGAATTTTATTTTTTTGGCTGGTCATATCCCCAGTGTTGTGCTTTTGGTATTTCTCTTTTTGAAATTCGTACTTTCATCATCCTGTAGAGCGCAGGTAACGTCAGTAAAATTCAGAGACACAGCTGTATCTTCATACAGCTCTCCCTCTCAAACAAAAATAAACAGCAAAAAAGACATAAGTCACATTATAAGTTTTTGTGCATATGTGACAATAATACCTCATACTTTTTACAATTTTAATCGAACGTCATTCACGTTGTTATTTATGGTGGTCCAACGGTTTTTGACGTGCACATTCCCGAATTTGTAGTCTCCTCTTTGCCAGCTTAACATTTAAATACTGTCAAAATATTTCCACAGGCGAATCTTAAATTAAGGGCAGGCAGAGCAAACAAAAATTACTTGCATTCCAAGGTAAAAATACATTGAGGTCATTTTGTCTATGGTTACTTCATATTTTTACGGAGAAAGAATAGGAATATAAAACTTCAAGCCTACATCAAAGAAACGAAAATTTCCCCCCAAAATTAGTGCATAGCTGGGTGTTTATGAAAAAGTGTCCACTCTCTTAGCTACTAATAATGGTGCAAATAAGGACAGTTTCTATGGTCAGTGCCAGGCAATCAACAAACGACAGCAATGTTTGATTCTCCTCCGTACACGCCTGAGAAAGGCTTCGTTTTTGCATTCTATGAGTTCCAGTTAGTTAACCATGGACATTGTACATGTATTTAACCCACTTGTCACTAAATTCTCCATTTCCTTTCGTGATAAAAGATAATTAGGTGAGTAATGCACGGTTTTACCACTTGACGCTTGATTTAATTGGTTAGACAATACACTGAGAAGGATACTGTGAGGACGTTAATTTCAGACCATGATTGGACTAGGAAACTGTTCGAGTGACGTGTTCAGACTACTCTAGTGCTTAACCTTGGACGAAAAAAAAAACACTCGGGCATAGTGTATGGGGTGTATATCATTTACCTGACCATGTGTGTGTTTCCACAAAGGTTTGGCTGATGTTCACTAAACGTAATCAAACTTCGGCTTTGCTCTGGCACTGTACCAGAACCCTCTGCGGGCATCTAAGTTTCAAATGGAATGACTCTATTTGCACATTGTTTAACCATTGGATATGCTGACACAAAGTAGCCATCCAAACGCGATTTCCGTTAAAACGCAATATATCCGAGAGGTCAGACCCAACCCGATCTCAACCGAGAGACAATGACTATAATACATCACTTCAGGGAATGGATAAATGTGTTGTCAGTATTACAATAACGAGAATAATTAAGATACGACAGAAATGTAGAAAAATATGGTAAACTCTCGGTAATATCATTGCACACGGATATCTCATTGTTTGACGACTTTGATCGAGGGGGGGGGTAACTAACATAAAAGCGCTGGGACACTCTTTTAATTCGACAAAACCAGGCAGGGCTGCTATAAACTCTGGAAAATCAACGAGACCATTCCAGATCGAGCAAAATGTGCCCGATACGACTTTTCCAGAAGGCCGTTGGAACAGTAACCACTTAATTTTCCTCTGGGTGGCGAATTTTGCAATTGCAACGCATTCGTCCCAAGAGTCTTCACACACGGAGGTTTTCAAGTGTGTTTGGTGTCTGGGTGTGTGATCAAAATGTGTGTTGATATTCCCCTCACACGAAAAAAAAAATAATAATCATAATAAAAAAAAAACACTCCAGCCATCTCATTCACCCTGCTTTTCGCCACCCCATTTATGCATACAAAAGAAAAACCAACTAATATATGGTGTACATTATGATAAGAGATAATAAAAAAGTGAATCAAAACTGTCTACAGTTCTTCGTATAAACAAATATGTAGCTCTACAAATTCTTCGGGCAGAATGAACCCATTATTGCGGTAGACTTGATGACAAGTCGTTAGCTATTCGTATTTTGCCTTGAACTTCATTTAAAATCCATCTAGTGTATGGTGTACTATTTACTTTGGTGTTCTACAGACGACAAAATTGTACTGCGTCGTCCTGTCACCACAACGGCACGACGCGACGCGACCGCTCCGTCGCGTCGTCACCTCTTTTCTTTTCACCTTTATGTTGTGTTTAATGCGTTAAGGCGTGCCGTCGAGGCGTCGCGTCGCCTGTCTGTCAGTTTATGGTTGTCATACGGTGTGGGTTCAGCTGTCGCATCCTGTCGTCATGCTGTCGGGTCCTGATGTCGTGCCGTCGAGTTGTTTCGTTGTATCGTTTTGTTGTGTTGCGCTGTCCCGTCGTGTCTTCGTTTTGTGCCGCTTTGTGCTTCACTGTAGCTTAAAATGGCTGGTGGTGTGGCCAATATATAGAGGGCGTATGTCACAGGTCACGGAAAAATAGTGAGCGTGCAAAGGGCCTACAAGATTTGATTAAGTGATGGTGTCTGCATGGTACTGGAACTGAGCTCTGTCTCTAAGGGCGTCACCCATTTCCACCAGTAATGAGGCAACGGCGAGAGCACAATGCGACGTCAAGATGAGACCGCATGACGCAATGGCTAAAAATGGACGTGACACGACCAGATGCTGCGAAAGTATGACAGCACGATGCGACAGCATGACGCAATGGGGGTCAGGGCCATCGCGTCGTAGCGTTGCGTTGTGGCATTGGGGTGACTAGACCACGTGACGCAATTTTGTTGTCTATAGAGCACCATAGTTTACACACAGTTTCGCCTCCCCTGAGCGACGCAACTACATGCATGATGGTTCCCTTGCATCGTGATGTCGTTGATCCCTCGCCTTCTTGCATTTTTTTTTCACATGCGACGCATCGCGTGGTGCTGTCGTCCGTCACGCAGCGCTGTCTAATTTCCATAAAATATATACTTCTGCCTAAACGTCGCTCCTACTGTCACCTGTTGCGTCTCACCGTCGTATGTCGTGTTGTACGTCGCGTGTAACTTCGCTTTAAGCACAACGCGACGCAGGACACCCTAAACGTCGGGCTCGCTCCTACTGTCGCCTGTTGCTGTCGCCCTTTTGCCTCATTTTTTTGGTGTCATAGAGGGCGCCTTTACTGTTTCTTTCAGTTAGTTCCGTTCCCCTTCGCTCATCGCCCACGGTCCAAACAGGACGCTGGGAAGGGCTGATGGCCTTGTACAGATTTCAGTGAAGGAAATACGTCACACGGGCTCACAGCTAACGAAGCACAGAACACTGCGGGTAAATTTCTGCCAGACGTGCTACCTCGCTTAATGCGTTACACAAGCGGTGGTTATCAGTTTATTTGTTCATCCCCAAATTATTTGAAATATAATGCCCAAAGACATGTGATCAGAGATAGCTAGTGAGAAGATGAATTTGATTGTACGAAGGCTATCTTTTATCATATTGCCGACACTTTGCCGTGCCAAAGCATTGCCATTGGCGAACCCAAAAATCCAAATAACGCTTCGCTTACAGGAAGTGATAACCTCGCGGTTACAAGTCGTGCACAATATAGCCAATCACAGTACAAAGCCGTCATCCCTTCCTAGCGCCTTGTTCGGGCACTATTTCTCCGTGCTTGCAATACAAAAATTCATTCGTTTTGAACGTACTCAGGACAGTAATTTACTTCTCAGCCAATGAGAAGCTTTGCTTGTCATGCTCCACCCACCGTTACCGCACACCTTTACCTTCGCCGTTTGTATTAATCATGATAACAATGGAAGAAGGTCCCAATCCTAACTTATCGATAACTAACAAAAATCAAAATTAACAAGAAACGTAAAATACAATGCTGAATCCCTCTATTGAAACATTACTCGCGTTCGTGTGCACGTTCGTCAACGCTTGGGAGGGAAATGAAGAAAACAGTAAAGGCGCCCTCTATAAACACCATGAAGCAAAGGGGAAACAGCACCCGGCTAGTCTTGTTCCCTGCCCAAAGATTCCCTGGCGACTCCCGATAAAAAATATTAGGCCAGGCATCAGCCTCTGATATAAATAGATATGACGCAAGGAACAGGGGTCACAAGTTGAGAGCCCGGGTGTTTTTCGATTTCATTACAGTGGTGCACCTATATTTATAGGCATTTAATATTCGTCGTCAGGTCCTGATTTTCCTAGATTCTCCTTAAGGGAGATCACTGAGGTATGGAATTCCATATCTGCTGTCGCCCGTCGCCTGTCGTCCGTCGCATTTTGCTTTTTGTTTTGTCCCAATTCTGCCATTTATCAGTTCCAAACATGCCATTTTCCGTCGTGCGTCGTCCGTCGTGCGTCGCCTGTCGTGCGTCGCCCATCAAATGGGTTGCCTAGGACCTGCAAAAGCCGGGGTTTAACAAATGACAATGTGGTGATTCCGTTCACTTCTAAAGATCTTTTCCGAATAAGGCAGGTACAAATCCCACATGCAAAGCATATACCAGTCACATAATTAA